TATATATATATATATATATATATATATATATATATATATATATATATATATATATATATATATATATATATATATATATATATATATATATATATATATATGTATAAAGGTGAATTTACCTAATGAGTGTGGCAAGCCTCGTCTTGTCATATAGTATTGAAGTTATTGATAGCGCCTGCTACGGTATTGATCACTTTCATCCACAGACGTCGAGAGGAATTTCTTGAGGGCTTTCCTTTCATCGTGTGGCAGATTATCTGGCACATTCTTATAAACAGTTTTAGTAAATAAGTCGTGTTCGACCCGGTCTAAAACGGTTTCAATAGCATGAACGTTGGCTATATTGGGGTATCCTTGGTATATTTTTTATACGGGGCATCTAAACCACTCAATATCCGCTCTGATCGTACGTCATGTGATGAATGAAGAAAATATTTTCCACCTCACTTTTCGCTTAGTCCAACCAGCCTTGTTGCATATCGTTCCAATCAACATTCACCGGCATAGGCAAAAATGAGTGGCCCAGACCACAAATCTCTATTAATGCATTGTCAATAACGTTTTCCGTAAGATTGATTGGTCCAGATTTACTTGACGTAAATGGTTATGTAGTTAAAGTTCTAGTATTCTCTGTAGTGCAAATACATGCATTCCGAGCATATACTATCGCATGCGTCGTGCTTCTTTCATATCACAAACTTTCTTAATTACTGCATTGTTCTAATTTTCCTAAAATTGTATCTGCATCCTCTGAATATCAGTCTCTTTTCAAAGTCTCACAAAGCTTAATTTCTTGTTGTCTTAAGTGCGGTAGTGTTTGTTTGTGGCTAATAACTTTTAAAAGCGCTCATGAGTTTAATTGACCATTTCTTTAAAATCAAGTTAATTAACTCTTGACTCCATCGGTACACAAATCGTTACTGCATGAGTAAAACTTTAGTAAAACACCTTTCAGAATATTTCTTGAAGCTTGACAGCGCGTAAAGTAATATGATGTTGAAATCGAATAGATTTTTTTCTCAATGAAAATAAACAGTTGAGTAATTGTCCTAAATTATTTACTTCTCTTCGGAAAACACAAAACAAGAACAACAAGAACAGAAGAAGAACAGGAATAACAAGAAGAACAGGTAAAGTGAAATGATATGTTATAGAGCAACGGACAGCACCTGTCTCAGCCACCTAGACATATGATAAATAGAAAACAACATAAATAGCTACAACGGAATGCAAATTTGCAAAAGTTAATAAATAATTTTCGGCCACAAGGCACAGCCTTCTTCTTCTTCTGGGTTTCCAAACACGCGAGAACAATGGAATTCACGAGGCTGTTTACCAAGCAATTTTTATCGAGGAAAACACGAGTCCGGAACGGCCGGTTTTTATTGTCTTGAGTGTTTTGCGAATTCAAGAGAACAATGAATATCGCTTGGTGAACAGTCGAGTGAATTCCATTGTTCTCTGCAAGTGTTTTGAAAATTTCAAGCTACTAGTAGTTTGAAAATGAATTTTTATTCATTCCCGCTGTCCCCTGGGAGATTTCAAATCCGCCACCTGCTTTGAAGACAGTTTTCTTTCAGTTCCAAAACACTGATTAATCATTAATTTCTTTTGTTTTTGGTTCATGAATTACTAATGAGTTTGAGAAATATAATTCATGACGATGAATTATATAGTTGTATTTTCTTTATATTAATTCCAAAGTATTTGCCTGTAACAATTATGAACCACATTCAATCACATACTACAGATTATTTCATAAAATAACAGATACGCAGATGTGAACAGTGTTACATCGGCTGATTGTAAATACGAATAATTCGTAAATATTTAACATATATTTATGGAGTGGAAGTGAATACGATGCAATCAATTAACTTAGTTCCCTGAAGATCACAATAATGCGTGAAACTCTGAGTAGAAAAAAAATTTTAAGCACGAAAGTGATTAATTTACTCCACTTTATTTCGAGTATTGAACTCTCTTTTTTATACGTTACGACCAATATTATATATGGATATTTAAATGGCAGAAGTTTGAAAACTCGCTGAGGTAAAGATATAACTAATACCGTAACACAGTAGACTATAGTAGTTAAATGTCGAATTGTGAAATGCTTGAAGCATAAGCAGTTATAGGTTGAGGCTGAGCATGACATCAAAAATGATCTGGCATTGACGAGAACTATGTTATCACTGGAAACGAAGCTGATTGAAGTCTGTATAATTCTTGATGCATGACAAATTTTTTAAATTTTGGGTAATTTGGATGAAAATTGCATAAACAATAGACCTTTCCCCTTATGAGTGAAATTTTGATCTAGATATGCCTGGACAAAAATTTCATCACAGTTTGAAAGAGCATCACAAAATTAGTAATATTCCGAAGTTTCGTTGCGAAATGATGTAAAATGCGGATAATATAGCGTTACGAGGTTTGCCGTTTTTCAGTCATTTTGCATTACAAACGGGAGATTGACAATCAGTTTGATCACCTGATTATCAATTTACCGTTTGTAATGCAAAATGACTGAAAAACGGCAAACTTCGCAAGGCTATTTTTCCGCATTTTACAACATTTCGCAACGAAACTTCGGACTATATTACTAATTTTGTGATGCTCTTTCAAGCAGTGATGAAATTTTTGTCCAGACTTGTCTAGATCAAAATTTCACTAAAAAGGGGAAAGGTCTATTAGTTAACATGCACCGAAGCACGTAAACGAACGTAAAGCCTCATTACTGAATGAAACAATCGTCAAAACTACAGTTCCCTATTGGCTCATGATAGCACTCAATCCGTTCTCAACCGTATAATAGCAAGCTCTTATTGGATAAACGTTTGGCATAATTTATTCGCACGAAAGTTGGCAGGTGTTGGTGATTTACATACGATTGCTTACGTACGGAACGTAAACGCGAAATTTGCATACATGAGATGTTATAACTCGAGACGTCTCGCTCATTCCCTGAAAAACTGGCACGCTTGATGCATGCCATTCTTTACCTATAGTAAACTAAAATATCCGCAGAATGTTAACTGATATAACTGACTTTGGATATAACTGACTTTGGCCGCTGTTTGTACACGAAAATTTAGTTTCCCAAAGGGCAAAATTGCAACAGATGTCTATACTATAGACATTGTCATTGCGCTACTCAATAGTCAATACAGTATGTTTCCAGGGTTGGTAAGTTGCTGAATAAATAAGCCAAATATTATTATCATAACCTTTGTTTCCTTTGTTCGAAACAAAGATATCAAAGGGCTGTTTATAACAATGTTTGGCTTATTTATTCAGCAACCTACCAACCCTGTATCAGCCTGTATGTTTCTAAATATTTCGATTCCTGCAAAGCCAAAGGCAAACATATTTGTGAAGAGTTTAAATTCGTTCATGAATCAATCATGACATTACGAGATTTATAGCGAGGACATGTACATATTTCAACGATATTTCAGCATTGAAGCATGCATATAAACACGGCGAGCCAGGGTAAAACGGTTTTAATTTTAAATCGATAGAAGAAATTGGATCGCTAGAAAATTTTTATGGCTAGTCTGTTTTGAGGATTTGACCTTCAAGGCTGAACGACTAATTAATGTGTTCTCTTGTGACTTTTAGTGTCTGGAGAAGTTTTAAGATTCAAACATTTTCTGTGCGAATAGTTGGACATATGTCTGCACGAGAATGAAAACTTTGTATATGCAAACATAATCAGTTAGTTTCGCACGATGCGATAGTATACATTAGGCAATCTCTAGACTTTATAGTGATCTACACGACTACATGTGTCGACATAGCTTCAAATCGAAATTGTGATTAACTGATAACATGATAAAGTCTTTAGAGTTCGCACATTTCACAAACAATATGCATATCTATGGTCTCATGTACACATATTACATGTGGAGCCAATCAGAATTCTTACGTTTGCAAATTAACATAACTGAATTTACGTTCGTTTACGTGCTTCGGTGAATGTTAACTATTAGAAAACGTTTGTTCGAATCCATAATTACCCACTGTATAGTTTATACATAACACATAACTTAATTAACTGGTGGAGATATGCAGATTCCGAGTGTCGTCTATTTATTTTATTTGGACTCAGGCCTGATTTGGACTGATGAAGGTCTGAACGTAAAAATCGAAATGTGCCAATAAATGAATGTGTTGTTTTCTCAACAAAACAAAGCAATTTTATGAAACAGTGGATATTTTTTACACGTAAACCCGTTTCAACGAACCCACAAATTAAGTGAGTAGCTCTTCTGAAGGGTGACGGCCATGTCTTTGCCAAAATCATAATGAGCAGTGTTGCCACCAAACTTTGCTTTATTTTGTCCAGTTATTCCAATACCATGGTCTGCTCTTCCACAATTCTTTCCTCCCCCACCAATCATCATCACTGCCCCATCACCCCAATCACACCAAAACCCAATGTGGCCACTATTCTGTATATCACTGCTGCAACTGTGCTGTTCAAAACCTGCTGTAGTTTTGTACTGACCGCCGTAAGTTACTGGACAACTTCCAAGACACTGATCACTGGCCCAGACTGCACCATTACGAAAGTTTCCATAACTTGTGATTTTTGATCTGAATGTCCCACCTTTGAAAATAGAAAAACAGCTGCTCATTAACCAATTCCAAAATTAGCTACCATATTTTTGCGTTGTTTTATAGTTTATGCATTACAAGGGTAATAAACAATTTACAAACAAAGACTTACTGTATTTAAGACAAGCAGGGCCGTACGCAGGATTTTTTCACCAGGGGGCGGTAAGGCCTATATGCCGAAAAAAGTCCCAAGTATCCAAAGAATAATTCATGTCATTCCAAAAATCATAAATATAGTTTTCTCAAAAGGGCAGTTGCCCCCTGCCCCCCCCCCCTGCTGTGTACGGCCTGACGGCAAGGTGTAGAGTTTGAGACTTAAAACAATCCGTGCAAGTGAAATTGTTATACAGGGTGGAAATTCAACAGGCTCTCGTGCTTCATAAACGTGGCTGGCTAACCAATTCAATTTTTGTTGACGAAACAACAGTTATTTATCTTTTCAATGATCGATACTCTTTTTAAATCATAACGATAAGAATTGGCCACATACTCGTAAAATAAAAATTGCCGGTCGAAATCACATTCTTCCACCGTGGGGAGTTGCATGGAAAACGAAACATAAACAATTACCAAGAGGGAATTAAAATTGATGTTTAAAATGAGCTCAACTCGTCAATCGTCTTCTTAGTGAGGCAATAAGAACGTCATTAAACATGGTTCAATTAACCACTGCACAGAGAACATTCGTAATCAAAACGTTTTACGACACAAATAGCTTGCAGCAGACTCGGGTCGCTTTTGGATTGACTAACTTTGCATAATTAATGTATTTACAATTCCCAACGGTGGAAGAATGTGATTTCGACCGGCAATTTTTATTTGACGAGCATGTGGCCATTTCTCATCGTTACGATTGTAAAAAGGTATCATAGAAAAGCTAAGTAACGGTCCACTTTCCTACCTATCTACTATATCTACATGATTACCTACATACCTATAGTATCTCCCTGCCTACTGTACCTACCTTTTTTATGATTGGCTAATGATGAGCTTTTATACCCGCATGGCAACTTGCGTGTCTGGCAACCAACATACCTTGAAGACAATTTGAAGTGGTCTGTAATAATGCTGTGTGAGTGTGATCATCACTTCTTGTGATCTTTATTTCGTGTCCTTTGGTTTCCCAGAAAGCTGCAGAAATCATATCCTTATTGCTTGATGGGTTGTCTTCATCCCCATATGAAGTGTCTTTGTCATACCAAAACGAACCGTCATCTATCCAGTATTTAGAATCATCATTTGAGAAGCGTGCGATAAGAGTCCATTCATCGTTCGCTCTGGTTGATACAACAGAGTATATCTGGGAAGGAGAGAAAGTCGTTTTTGTAGTTTGATAAACAAATGTGGCTTTTGATCTCAACATTAATTCCCTCAGGAATAGAACTTATTATTTTTTGAAAACACGTTCTCTGAACACAATATATACTTTGTGTTAATATCTGCTTCATTTGTTTCTGTGGAATTACTGGAATGCCAAGATTCCAATGTTTTTCTCGCTCGAACCCCGCCCTCCCCCCCCCCCTGCTAATAATCTTTGAACTTTTGGAGTCAGTTTTATGTTATTTTCCCCCTCCATGGTTTGACATGTACGTTTGATTATTCTTTCTAATTGTTTACATTGGGTACATTATATTCTTCCTTGTCCCGGTTTCAGCAATATCATTATGATCCATCCGTTTATTCTTGAGTTATTTTTGAGGTGTAATGATCGCAGTTTTTTAGTGGCGACTCAAATATGATGGCACACATTACCAAAATTATCATTCCAAATACAATTACTAAGGGAAATGACTGGAAATGTACTTTACGGAAATAAACTGCCGACTTCCTTAATTCTCAACAGCTTTCCCACAAATTTACTCTCTACCCAATCGTTTCGCTGTTCTTGCCCAGTTTTATAGAAGATAGAACCCTTTTCCCTGATACCCCTTCCCGCGAAATGACAAATCCTTAAAAAATGCGCTCTTCCAAAATTAATTTTCCTATGTTTAGTATAGATAGGGCTAGAATTAAGTCACTATATAAATCTGATATTATAAGATTCGCATTAACCTGTTCATTTGCATTGCGCCATAATGCGATGGGTTAATCAGACCATCTGGGCATGTGTCTAGTTAACCCATTACACCATAAGTGGCATTGCACCCTAATTGCGCCCTACTAATGCACCCTAATTGCGCCCTACGCTAATACTGAATATACAGGCTTGCGTTGCTCGCGTCATGTTAGCCATGGCATCACGATCATTGCTTTTTCATTTTTCTTTTTTTTTTACAAAACGGCAAAAATATATAATTGAAGTTTGACAATTTTAACTGCAGAACTGTCAATTTCTACAGTATATAGTATAGGTATACGTTATTTTTCATTCTCAAAAGCTTCAATTCAATCAATGGACGACTCATAAACAAATATTCATAGTAATAGTATTATATATGCATGTGTATGTTTGGCTGTTTTTGCCGATTAATTAACTTTTTATCTTGCCTTTTGATTAGTTGAGACGAAATCATTTATAATCATACAGTTTGCTCTTGGAAATAATGATGACTTTTTAAATTCTATTGAAGCTGTTTTAATATGAAATCGGGCAATTTGAAGGCAAGTGAAAAATTAAACCCGAAAACAGTTATGTACATGTATTATGAAAAAAATACAAAACAAACTTGATTTATTTTTCATCATTTCCCATCTCACATCTCTTCTTTTTATTTTTTAAAGTAAAATTTTTAAAATCGCTTTACAGCGCATTGCATAAAACGACTTTTCCATAGGTTTTCAACTGAAATCTTGGCAGTTGGATCATTTCATTCCACGTCTGGCAGTTGGATGACCACCAACTAACCCATATAAATAGCCGTGCAGAATTAGCACACGGGCTACCGACGCCCGGAACGGTGGTCAAAATTTATAAAAAATACATAATAGCAATAAATTAATGAATACGCTATTTGTACGTCAAGAACTTGCAATTATGTGTTGTGAAGCTACTACTCGTGCGCGGGCGCTAGAAGCAACATAAAGCGCCGGGGGCAGCCATTTAAAAATGGCACTTACTTCTGAGCCTTGATATTTTTTGTCGCCAGCTATGATCATTAATATTTTGCTGTACAGATACTTCATTATTTGTAGTCAATATAGTCAGACAAACTTTGGCATTCATTGGAACACTTTTATCCGTTGCATGACGCTAAAAACTATAAAAGGCATTATAAAACGACATGACAGCTAGCCACTTATTTATGTAGTCTTTCTATCAGACAACGGCAAAATCGTATCTATTTGTTTTATATAATAAAAAGAAAACCCGGAATTAAACAGGTAACTAGCTTACATTTTATCCCCCCAAACTTTTTGAAATTGAATAAATTCAGATAGTGTTTCAGTAAGCTGTTAATAGTTATAAACATAAAAAACGTTGCATTTTTAAAACTAACGAATAAACAAGTTAGCATGTCAGTTAAATAAGATTAAAAACAACAAAAAGTTACCTTCTTATCCGATAAAAAAAACTTGAAAAGCCAGAAAAGGTTTTCATGCATGTCATACATCTGTGAGTATTAACTTTGCTTTCTAAACGTGATTGTAAGCAAGTTTGACTTGAAATAGCGTTTCATTTCGGTATTAGGCAGCAAAATACCGAAATGTCGGTATATCGGTATTTTTAAATTGTCAATATCGCCAAACCGGTATCTAAACAAATACCGGTATATCGGATATATCCGGTATATCGATCCAGCCTACAATACGCGAAGTATTTCGTCAGACATCTGCACTACATTATAAATACTGTACAAGGAAAACTACAGCTTAATAATTGTAGAAGTTTCTTGTTTTGTCAGGAAACATCACAGCTCACATCGACACGGCTTTTGAGTTTTGTAACCGGCCGAGGCGAAAGTAAATCATGCAGTCGGGAAAACGTCTTACTTTGAAAGATTATTTTGCAAAACATACTCGACGTACACACAAGAATCATAAAAAGTAAAAATACAAATGTTGAATTGTTAATATTGTCAACTGTCAAGTTCAGTTATTTTTAGACAATATGGTGTTAGCCAATCAGAATGCAAAATTGACCGGCCCAGACCAGGGCTTTCTCGTGCCTCGCCTCTTTCTCATACGAAAGCCCTGGGAACGAGGTTTCACGGATTGTTCCTGAGAAAATGTATATTTTCTAATCAATTCAATACAAATTATTTCATCAATTTGCCAGATGTAAACGTCACTATTTATATGAAACTAATTAAAATACTAAATTTACAATGAGTATGCTAATGTATATAAAAATATGCAAAACATGCAATTGATTTATTGTCTTGTAGTTTAAAATACTATATAATGTTAGTAGATTAAAATAATTCAAACATACAACTGAGTTATTGTCCCGTAGTTTAAAGTACTATACAATGTTAATAGATTAAAATAGTTCAAACACTAATTGTTCTACCAGTACAACCGTTCATCAAGTCTCCAGAATGTTTTTGTATTTCAAATGCTTCGACGTATTTCCTCTCCCCGTCGTTCACTATATTAGCATGTAAAATCTTCCACTTTATTGTAGGTAACTTTGATTTCTTGTGGGATTCCAAATGTTTATAAACCGTCTGCTTTTCCATTGTCAAGTGTTCTTTGATCCGTGATCCAATTGTTCGTCCGGTCTCCCCAATGTAAACAATTCCACATATTGAACATTCGATTTTGTAAACTACATTCTTCTTAAGGCAAAGGTTCGGTTTAGAAGACAACTTACACGTTTCACATTCGCCCTGGCAGTTCTGTTTAGTCTTTGGTGGAGCAAAAACTTTAGAAAGGGGTGGACCGTTGGTAAAATGTAATCTTATATTCGGTATTCGTGATCGCTTTACTACCCCTATAGCCTGTCGTTTAAATTCTTCGTTGATAAATGGTAGCTTTACATAGGTAAATTGCTGTTGTTCTAATTCCTCCGGTTCGTTATCTTTGTTATTATGCCGTTGTCTGTTTTTATGAATCGTTCTTCTAATTATGGATTTAATGAATGTTTTGGGATATCCATTGGCAGTGAATAACTCCGTAATGAGATTAAGTGACCTCTTTTGTGTTGTGGAATCAGTTGAACAATTAATAGCCCTAGCTAATATAGTGAACGACGGGGAGAGGAAATACGTGGAAGCATTTGAAATACAAAAACATTCTGGAGACTTGATGAACGGTTGTATTGGTAGAACAATTAGTGTTTGAACTATTTTAATCTATTAACATTGTATAGTACTTTAAACTACGGGACAATAAATCAGTTGCATGTTTGAATTATTTTAATCTATTAACATTATATAGTATTTTAAACTACAGGACAATAAATCAATTGCATGTTTTGCATATTTTTATATACATTAGCATACTCATTGTAAATTTAGCATTTTAATTAGTTTTATATAAATAGGAGGAAATATTATTGTAAAAACATTCCACTGAAGAAGCCGTAACAGGCGAAACGTTTGGAAAATATACTTTGTGTATTTTTATGTCTGAAGAAATCTTATAGCCAAGTTCATATATATATATATATATATATATATATATATATATATATATATATATATATATATATATATATATATATATATATATATATATATATATATTCCCCTCAGTAATGTCTTATTGAAATACGACGAAATAGACATACTATCGATACTCATATGCACACTATATAATAGCGTATTTTCTTATTTCTATGTGCTGCTGCATGTGTCATGTTATCGAGCCGTTCCACTGATTGATTAAAATTTACGGCAATTTACAATAGACTCGCTTTTGGCTGCTCGGCAAATGTTCTTTGCTTGTCCTTGAGTATATTACAAATCCTTTCCTAGTAATTCTTTGCGGTTTTCCCAATATGAAACTGAAAGACTCCAGTATGTAGATCTTGCGTAGATCGACGTCGCAAATGCAATCCAAAAAGAAAACACATATATAAAGACATCTCACCCATTGATTTTGTAACACAAGCTCTTGCTATTCGTTAAAATTACATGTATTTGTTAAAATACACACTCTCTGAACTTTATCGAATTGATATCGGCAACTAGATCGGCAACACAAACTTAGTCCCCCACCCTTATGTAAATTTTGTTATCTCCCAAAATCTGGGAGACACGTGACCAGCCTGGATCAGGGTCTTTCCTCCAGCGAGGCGCGTAGTGGAAAGAGCCTGGGTACGAGGTTGGACTGAAAGAAGTGAAGATACTATGTTCGAAAGAATTTGCATTGCTGCATGTGTGGTTTCTTTTGCATGCTATTCGTGATATATTCGGATTGAATTCAATTATTTAGGAAGTCAATTTTGGTTTCTTCAGTGGTTATCTTTAGCCAATCCAGTTTTGCCGACTGAGATAACAATTTGCCGATTCGCTGACGAGTGGGGGTGTTTCACCCCCCCCCTCCACCCCCCCTGTAGCGCCGCCCCTAATCGCAATATTGGCAATCTTGCATTTTAATACACCAAGCAGTATGTCCCATGCACTTGCAATGATCATGGTAGCTATAAAAACCGCGAGTGCTAACATTTGGCGCCAAATTGACAGTCAAAAGCCAATGGCTGATCGCATTATTAATCAGAACCCCCCCCCCCCCCCC